CTACAGTGCATAACTTCTAATATTCCATTCTGAACCTGATTCCTCAGAAATTGATACTTGGTATCAATATGCTTTCTTCTCCCATGCAACACCGAGTTCTTGGCAACATTGATTACAGACTTGTTATCAATCATCAGCTTCAGAGGTTTATTTACCTCAATCTTCAGATCTTTCAGCAAGTTCAGAATCCGCACAACTTGACATACAGTCAAAGCGCCTGCAATATATTTAGCTTCACAGGTTGATAGCGCAACAACATGTTTCTTCTTGGAACACCAAGAAATAGGACGTCCCAGAAATTTGAATAAGTACCCATAAGTACTTCTTCTGTCCAATCTATCTCTGCACCAATCCGAGTCTGAATAACTCAGAACTTCTGATTCGATCTTTCTTCCAAACGGAAATAACACTCCATACTTCAGAGTTCCCTTTACATACCTCAGAATCCTGATAGCAGCTTGGTAATGAGATCACTTTGGTTTACTCATAAATCTGCTAATCATTCCAACTGCATAACAAATATCATGTATGGTACTACACAAATACCTTAGAGAACCAATCATTTGTTTGAAGGTTGTAATATCCACACCCTCTCCATCAGAATCAGAGTCCAACTCCTGATTCATATCAGCAGGTGTGATAGCAACTTTGTAATTCTCTAGCTCAAATCTCTTAAGAAGTTCAAGTTCATACTTCATCTGATGCAAAACTATTCCTTTCTCAGAGTACATAAATTCTGTCCCTAGAAAGAAACTCATTTTCCCAAGATCTGTCATCTCAAACGCATTCATCAGAACTTTCTTGAACTCAGCTATCTCTTGTTCAGAACTTCCTGTGAGTAATATGTCATCAACATACAAACAGACCAGAATCATATTACCTTCTGAAGTATGTTGAACATAAACACCATACTCCACCTCAGACTTCTGAAACCCTTGTTCCTTGAAAAACAAATCAATCTTCAAATTACAAGCTCTGGGCGCTTGCTTCAATCCATACAAGGCTTTGTGTAATTTGAACACCATCTCTTCTTGATTATTTTTCTCAAATCCAGGAGGTTATGATACGTATACCTCTTCTTGTAATGGAACATTCAGAAATGCAGATGTTACATCTAAATGTATCAGAGGCCAATTCCTATTAGCAGCTATTGGAATCACTAGTCTGATTGTTTCATGTCACGCTACAGGTGCAAACACTTTAAAGTAATCCATCCCAGGCTTATGTAGAAAGCCTCTTGCTACTAATCTCGCTTTGTGTTTGCCAATTGATCCATCTGGCTTTAACTTCTGCTTGAAAACCCATCTGACGCTGATGGCTTTCTTGCCTTTTAGAAGTTTTGTTAGCTTCCAAGTCTTGTTTCTCTCTATAGCATCAAGTTCTTCTTTCATGGCCTGTAACCAAACTTGCTGCTTAAGAGCCTCTTCCATACTCACGGGTTTAGAGTCTACTAACATTGCACACTGAATAACTTCTCCTTCAGAGTATACTTCATTGTCTTACAACATGTCAAACTCTGCAAATCTTCTTGGGATGCTTCTGAGTCATTGTTGCCTCTGAACTAGACCTTCAGAACTTTGGACACCAGAACTTTCCCCTTCAGAGGAACTTGCTTCAGAAATTGGACTTTCTCCAGAACCTTGACTGTCTTCAGAGTCTGGATCACCATCGAAGTCAGAGTCAGAATCATCTTCTCCTTTTATATCTTCTTCAGAGTCAGAGTATTTACCAACTTCAGAAACATGTGTTTCTGACTTTTCTTCAGGAGTTCTCTCATCAGAGTTAGGACGACACCTTTCCCAAATCCAAACTTCTGATTATTTTATAATGACGTCTTAGCTGAACTCAACTTTGTTAGTTTATGGACAATAAAGTTTATACGAACCTGTACTGTGGTACCCCACCAACAACATCACTTTACTTCTATCATCCAACTTTTGTCTTCTGGCTTCTGGAACATGTTTGTAACATACATAAACAAACACATTCAGATGACTAACAATTTTCTTATCTCCAGTCCACTCCTGAATAGGAACTATTTCCTTCAATTTCTTCGTTGGACATCTATTGAGGACATAACATGCAGTTGCAAAAACTTCTCTCTATAGAGTATGAGGAAGTTTCTTCTCTTTTAGTATGCTTCTCACCATATCAAGCAAAGTATGGTTTGTTCTTTCAGCAAGACCATTGTGTTGAGGAGTATAAAGAGCAATAACCTCGTGCTCAATTCCATTCTCCTCACAGAATTTTCTGAATTCTTTGGAGTTATACTCACCACCACCATCAGTTCTAAGAATCTTTAACGTCTGACCACTCTGATTCTCAACCTTTAGTCTGAAATTCTTAAATTCAGAAAACATCTCGCATTTAATCTTTATGAGAGATACCCATGTCATTCTGGTGAACTCATCAACAAATGACACAAAATATTTATTCCCTCTAGTTGATGCTACTGGAAAAGGACCGCACACATCATAATGCACTACTCCCAAGGCATGTTTTTCTCTTGGAGCTACTTCTGATGCAAATGATAATCTTTGTTGCTTCCCTTCCATGCACACCTTGCATGACTTTTTAGGATTCTTGATTGTAGGAATTCCATGTACCAGATTCTTTGATTTCAGATGCCCTAAACTTCTGAAATTCAGATGACCAAATCTTCTGTGCCACAACTCACTCTGCTTGACAACACTTGTTACATTAAGACATTCAAAGTCTGCAGTTCTAACATTCACCTTGAATATTCTGTTCCTTCCCTGTTCTGACTCCATAATCAGCTTCTGATTACAGTCATACAACTTCAGAAGATTGTCCTCCATGGTAACTGAAAAACCTTTCTCAATCAGTTGTCCCACACTCATCATATTGCTTTTCATGCCAGGTACATACCATACATTCTGGATCACTGCTGCTTTCCCATTGTTTAGAATGATTCTGACATTTCACATACCTTCTGCATTGAGGTATTTATCATCAACACATCTGATCTTTGTACTCTTCCCAAATTCAAAATCAAACAACCATTTCTTGTTTCCAGTCAGATGGTTTGAACACCCTATGTCCATATACCACCATTCTGAAGAATTCAGATCATCAGGTTCAGAAGCCAACAATAGCACAGGTTCATCATCTGACTCTCCTCGGGCTATATTTTCTTCTTATGACTTCCTGTCTTTGTTTGACCAAAAATCTTTGGTATAGTGACCAAAGTTCTTGCAAGAGTAACACTGAACATTCTTCTTGTCAGACTTCTCCTTTCCCTTTTGGATATTCTTCTGCATATCAAATTTTAAAGCTTCTGACCTTTGACCACCCTTAGTTTTCTTCCTGGCTTCTGACCAAGTCTGCTTTTGATATTTCTCACCAGAAGTTACTTTCAGATGCTTCTGCTCTACTTACCTCTCATAAGTTCTCGCAGTCATACGCAACTCATGTGCCTCTAGACTACTTTGCAGCTCTTCAAATCTCATGGTGCTCAGATCTTATGAATGTTCAATTTCTACCAAAATGTAATCAAACTAAGAAGTTAAAGATCTCAAAATCTTCTCAATGATTATTTGTTCAGAAAGAGTTTCTCCACAAGCTTTCATCTCATTAGTGATCAGAATCACTCTAGAGATGTACTCAGAAACCTTCTCGTTGTCCTTCATGTTGAGATTCTCAAATTTCTTTTTGAGAGACTGAAGCTCCACCTTCTTCACTGATGCATCACCACCGCAACATCTGACAAGTGTTTCCCACACATCCTTTTCTATTTCAGAATCAACAATCTTCTCAAACACATTTGCATCCACACATTGATGGATGTAGAACAACGCCTTCAGATCTTTCTTCCTTAGCACCTTCTGTGTTATCTTTTGTGCCTCTGTTGCACCTGCTTCTAACAGATCATAGCCATCGGTGACAAGATCTAACACATCTTGAGAACCAAATAACACGCGCATCTGAATCTTCCAACGATTCCAGTTTTTGCCATCAAATACTGGAAGCTTGGAATGGACACCACCGCCGTTTCCGTTCATCTTCTACCTTGTGCAATTTACGCAGAAACTCAATAAAGCAGTGTTTCCCAAATTCCCATAATCAGAAACAACGATTATCACAAAGCACCTCACTTTTCTCTCATGTTTCCCGTGGATTTTGAACCGGAGCTTTGATACCAATCATTGGTGCACAAGGAGAGATGAAAGACAAAAGGAATATATTTAACAACGGCTACAAAAATAAGGAATAATAATTTACAATGAATTACATTGAGCTACCTCACTAGGCTATTTATACACAATAAAATCCTAAATATCCTCTAACAAAGATATAAAAAGTTATAATAATATCCTCTAAAAAGATATTCCTAAAATGTAGATTAATATCTAAAAGATATTTCTAAATTAATTCATAAAATATAAATTAACTCTAACACAAGTAACATTCAAGTTGCTAAGGTTCCAAAAATCCAAAGCAGTATGAACAATTCAAATCAATCATGGCAAAAGCAGTATTGACACATGAGGGAAGATAACTTCAGTACCTGTAGCAACACAAATATTCCCATCTCATCAACTCTGTGGCAGGCCCTATCGATTCAACTTCATCAAGATATCTTCCATTTCTTCATTGTAAAGCCTTTCTTGTAACACAATCCATTTTCAAAACTTGTACAGTAATTAACACAATAAGATATCACAAAAAAACAGAGTTGCCAACATGTGAGTACCATGATTCCATTTCTGGTGGAGGACCATGCTGAGAAGTTCTTGATGAAAGTATGACTGGAAAAATTATGCTATCCTTGAATTCTATGGATACTAACATTGCACATTTTCATAAAATGGTATGCACCGGCAGGAATGTTAGTCACATGAATTGTAGCAGAAATATACACCGGCAATAAGCTTTGACTAGAAAAACAAAGATAAATAAAGAAATGAGTTTAATGCACTAAATAAAATAAGGAAATGCAAAATGAAGATGTTATTCATTAGTATTCAAGACTTTGTACTCTAAAAAATATGAATATTGAAAATATATTTACAATACTTTGTCATCGTGTTGAATGTAAAATGAACCATGATCAACCGGCAGCGATGGTGGAGTACCGGGTGGGAGACTACCAATCTTATTGCAGGATGACCTCCAAAATCCTTTTGATAACTAAAATTGTATGACTTCTCATATAAAGAGAATGTCAATGCTCTATATAAATAGACACACGGAAACAATACCTTATATCTCAAGTGATTTGTATCTACTAGGTGCGTGGAGCAGGTGATGTTGTTTTCAGTGTCGGTGTTGACCATTGCTTCATGTTGTTTTCAGTGTCGGTGTTGAAATGTTGCTGCAAAATAACATCAATAAAATTAGATTTCATTGAAAAGGACTTCAAATTCAAAAAACAGTACCTTTATCAAACCAACCTCAAGCCAAATACTTTTGATTCCAAACCTAGCAGCCTTAGTATGAGATGAGGCCATTTCAGAATCATTATATGTTAGTAAATATAATTTGAAATTTAGTAACTAAAGAAGGGTCCAAATTGTTAGTAACTATAGTCTGAAATTGTTATACTGTCGATCTTTTTGTTCAATTTTTTTTACTAAACCAGGTATGAACTTTAATTCAAATGGTGATAAACCATAGACACATTAACGATCAATGCGAAACTTAAACTCCTTAAAATATTTTACATAACAACTACAAACCAAAGCACCTAATTTACATAGTGAATAAACTTTTTCATCCACCACTGTGCTCGAATTGGCGAATTGATTTACTGGAGAACCTCTTCACGAAATCAAAACCCTAACAACAGACACAATAATCTCTAACAACTCAACTAATAAACAAATAAAATCAAAGAAATTTCATAAACAAAAAGCAAAAATCTCTTACCACATATGAGTTTCTCTAATTATACCATACATTTCCCACAAATTACTCACAAGCCCTTTCTTCATCCACAAAACTCCTCAACACTTCCACTTTTTCGGTGTAACCCCAACCTTCATCAAATCATCAGTAAAATTTTTAAAGAGGAAGAGAGGGAAGAAAGAAGAAAGAATAGGAAGAGGAAGAGAGGAAAGAGAGAAGAAGAAGAACCTCCACAATTGAGAAAGAGAAAGAGAAACAAAAAAGATGAGAAAGAGGAAAGATAGATACATATAAGGTACAATATAAATTCTTGTGTAATCAGTTTGAACTTTGAATTTTGAATTAAATGTGTGATTGGATTGGAACCAAGTGACGTTATCAACTCATTCAAAGAGAGGGAGCAAAGGAATAAAAGAGTAGCAATGTAATTGAAATAGAAGCAAATGACATCATTAGTTGGAAAAAGTATTTTTTGGACATAAAATACTCTTAATTTGTTGAGGTGGAAGATGTAGAGGATGGGGCGGAAATGGAGTTTCCATTGTAGTTTGTGTTCTTATATAGTAGATGTTGGTTTTAAAATACCCTAATCTTAATTAACAATCACAATAAGTAATAAGCAATATAAGATGGAAAGCGGTAAAATTATTTACACTTTAATGGAAATGGGGATACACTTTGTCAAATGGGGATGGAATAAAGAAATTAAGTTACAAGTCCTTCAACAAGTACACAAATGAATTAAATCATTTTATCGATTAGTTAAAACTTGGTTAAATCAATTAATTAAGCTAATAAAAATTAATTAGCAAAATTAATCAATTTTAATTAACATAACCAACTAACAAAAACAAGATTTACTTAATCGATTAAAGCTCATTGTAAGAAGGCCCAAGAGTAAGCCAAGAGATTGAAAGCCACTGAATTTATAGCTATATGTTGTACCCCAAAATTTTCCATCTCATTTTATCAAGATTTCCCCTCACAAGACTCTTTGAACTCCAGACAGGATTAGGGTTTGCTCTGCTCAAGACATTTCCTTGCACTGATGACCTAAATTAGGGTTGGAGTTTGAACAAAGATTTTTGGACTTCCAATGCTCAAAGTGACTTTCATACTTCAAGTTGGACTTATAAGATTGTCCATGCCAACTTTCAAGCCTTGAATCAAACTTTTGCCCAATCAATTGGACAATTGACCTAGAAATCAATTGTATTAGGGAAAAAGTCAACTATGGCCAATTTGCAGTCAAACCTCATAAATTTTTATCCACATCAACATTGTAGACTCATATGAACCATTTGATCAAGTTTGGACCACAACTCCTCAAGAAATTTGATCAGATCATTAAAAGGGCAAAATGGTCATTTTTAGGGTTTTGACTATACAAGGGCAATATCTGACTTTTGACCTAGCCAATGGCAAATTGGGTTCAAGCATGGACTAAAGGACTCAATGGCATCATCTTGACCTATTCACAAGGTTCAAAAGACCTCAAGTGCATTGGATTGACAGATGAATTTTTCAGTCAACTGATCAAAATTTGACTGTACACTAAAAAGTCAAACTTTGACTTTTTGGTCAAAATCAAGTGCCAAGGGTAATTTTTCATCAAGATGTATCAAAACATGAAACTTGTTCATCAAGAAACCCAATTTTGCAAATTAGGGTTTAAGATTGAAAAATTTCATAACTTAGAATTTTTATAAGTTATGAAATTTTCTTAATTTTTCTCAACTTCGCCCAACATTTTCACCGTGATGCAATTGGATTCAAACAAAACTTCCAACATGAAAGTTGTAGTACTCCATAAAGTCCACAACTTTGATTCACAAAGTTTTCTCAAAAGAAGCTTGGATCTCAAGTTATGATTTTTGGAACAAGGGTCCATGAAACTTTTAACTTAGTGAAATTTTGCCCTAGTTTAGGTAGGATTTTGACCTATCTTTATGGCCATTTTTCACATAGTTCCACTTTGAATATTGTAGGTGTTTAGTTATTGGCATGTATTTTTGGTAAAACCAGGTGTGTGAATGTCATGACTGATGTCATAACATTCTGGTTTATTAGGTACTGGTTTATTAGGTACCTTTGCAGAAAAATAATGGAATATAGTAGCTACTGTGTATGAGTGTGTATCTGAGCATTTTGCAAAAGATCACATTTATTGCCTTCTACCAAAATCAGTAAACAGGAATTCTGATGTCATAACAAATGTTAAGACATCCTGTACTGATCTAACAGTAGTGCAGTTTGGTTAATTCTGAGATTTTTCAGGAAGTTGGCTCATTCCTTCCAGAACAGAATCTCCCGTTGTCTTTGGGTTAACCTAGCTCAACCCTAAACTGGTTGATAAAGTCTTGTGACCAAGTCTTATGGTTAAACCTAATTAACCCTAGTTTTTTGTGGAAACCCTAACTGAAGAAACAGCTGCTATATATTCAACATGACTGCTGTTTGGAAAATATCTCTTTGGACTGAAGATCAATCAGAAACTGTATATTTTTAACTGCTGTAATCCAAGAAATTATCATTGTGATAAGTGACTTGGAATAGGTTTTGTTTGTAAGGGTTTTTTTACCACTCAAAGCTTTGAAGCAAGAGTGTTTTGTGTCTCTTGACTAAAGCTTTGAAGCAAAGTCAAGTTAGGTTTATGTATCACTCAAAGCTGTGAAGCAAGAGTGTTTGTGTTACTTGATTAAAAAGCTGTGAAGCATAATCAAGTGTATGTTTTGAAGAGTGTCTTCATTAATTCATTAGTCAATTGTTTTAAGTATCACTGCTGTGATTGAGGGGGAGTGAGTAGGAACTCAGGTTTAAGTAGAACTTAGATTGAAGTTGCATTGGGTAGGTCTTAAGTGAAGGAGATAAACTGGTTGGTTTATTCCTGAATTAATATCTCTTATAGTGTATTTCCTCCCTGGCTTGGTAGCCCCCAGAGTAGGTGTTGTTTCACACTGAACTGGGTAAACAATTGACTGTGTTCTTTACTGTTTTTGTATTTACCGTCTTATAGAAAGTCAGATACGGTGTCATAACATTGACTGTGACATTGAGTATCTGCAGCCAGAATTTCAAATGGCATCAGAGCAGGCACCCTTCCTGTATTACTGGGTGAGATCTAGGGATATCACTTTCTGGCACTATGGACAAAGAAGGAGTTTTTGGAAACAGACCACCCATTTTGGATGGATCAAATTATGACTACTGGAAACCTCGTATGATTGCCTTCTTAAAATCTCTGGACAAAAAGGCCTGGAGAGCTGTTGACAAAGGATGGAACCATCCCACAATAACTGACAAAGATGGGACAATCAGTCTGAAGCCTGAGGAAGAATGGAGTAAAGAAGAAGATGAGTTAGCCCTAGGTAATTCCAAAGCTTTAAATGCCTTGTTCAATGGAATTGATAGAAACATATTCAGACCAGTACAACAATATGAACTGGCCAAGGAAGTTTGGGACACTCTCAAAACTACCCATGAGGGCACTTCCAAAGTAAAAATGTCAAGGCTCCAGATGCTGACTACCAAGTTTGAGAATCTAAAAATGATGGAAGATGAATCCATTCATGAGTTTCACATGAACATCTTGGAGATTGCCAACACCTTAGGAGCATTGGGAGAAAAGATGTCAGAAGAAAAACTGGTGAGAAAGATTCTCAGATCCTTGCCTAAAAGATTTGCAATGAAGGTAATTGCTATAGAGGAAGCCCAGGATATCAGCAAGTTGAAAGTGGATGAACTCATTGGGTCTCTTCAGACTTTTGAGATGGGGATCACTGAAAATGTTGACAAGAAGAACAAGAGCATAACACTTGTATCCAACACTGAAGATGAAAACAAGGAGGATGAAGAAGAAAATATTTCAGAAGCTATAGCCATGCTTGGAAGACAATTCAAAAAACTCATCAAAAGAATAGATCCAAAGTCAAGGTTTAATGTTCATAACATCCCCTCTGACATTGACAGTTCCAGCAGAAGACCAAGGTCAGAAGAGAAGGGAAATCAAGGCAGAGGAATTCAATGCCATGGTTGTGAAGGATATGGGCATATTCGAGCTGAATGTCCTACCTTTCTTAAGAAACAAAAGAAATGAATGACTGTTACCTGGTCTGACTGTGATTCAGAAAGTAATTCTGAAGAAGAATCTGCCAAACTAGTTACTGCACTAACTGGTGTTTGTACCTCTGAAAGTGACACTAGTGATGAGGAAGTGACATTTGAAGAACTGGCTGATACTTACAAGAAATTGTGTATCAGAAGTGCTGAAGTCTGTGTGAAGAATGAGAAACAAACAAAACTCATCATAAAGTTGGAGGCTGAAAAAAGGGTAGGCCTTGAAACTATAAGTCATCTAGAAGGGGAAGTTCAAATGTTGAACTCAAAACTGAACCAGATGACCAAATCTGTCAAGATGCTGACAAATGGA